ATTCAGATTGACAATATGTGACTGAGGAACAACTGTGGCTTATAATTACAGATAGGTCTCTGTACTACTGACGAACGATAAAGGTTTTAATCCTGGCGGGAAAGAAAAGACGTGGTCAGTTATAAAAAAGGATACGTGGACTTCAAAGCTGGTCTGAGGTCAGTGAAATACAGCGTGGATGTGTGGAAAGACAGCGTATGTGAGGACACAGTGGACAGGAGGGGGAATATTACTGAGATGGGTGCGCTCTCCAGTAATACAGTCTACATCAGTATGGAGTTTGGTAATGTCAGTTAAAATAAAATACTTGAAATGTTCTTGTGAATTGTTAAGGTCTCAGTAGTTGCAAAGTCAAATTGATGCTGTTTATTTACCGAGTGTGTTGAACCGCAACACTCTGTTCATTCCTGTTGTCTGTCGCCGTGAGAGGAGGTTAGTAGAAAGGGAAGTGAAAAGTGGTGGTGAAGGAAACCTGAGAGCTTTCATAGGCGGTTGAGCAGCAGTAACGTCATGTATCACCTGTATGTAACCTTACCATGTGTATCTCTAGGGGCCAAGTGTTCAAAGTCTGAATTGACTTGTACTGCCATGTTATTGATAATCTAACTCTCCTTTGATAAAGCAAAGTGAGTATTTATGTGTCTCTGTCTGTGCGGGGATTTTTCACAGATGGCTTTTCCGTGTCTGTAATATTCTTTGTGGTGTCAAAGTGTCATTTGCATCCAGGAGACATGTTCCTGTTTATTCTTTGTCATTCAATGATGTCATAAATATTCTTTTGCACTTAATAAATGTCTGAACTGGAATACCAGCCTGACTCAGTGTTTGGATTTGATAAAAAGCTGTTCTGTCAAGCACTGTTGTACCAGTACTTCACCACTAGAGGGGGCTTACACCTCACATTTTCCCATGCTGTCGGTTACCCAGAGTGCCACAGTGACATCTGTAAATCAGCCACTGATGGGAATGTTAAATGAAACCTACCTGACACTGCGGAATTCACTTTACAGCTTTATGTTTGGAGGATTACAGCTACAATATAAACTACGTTAGGAGCATCTACTATACACAAAATGAAACACTGAAAAACAAAACAAAAGGTACTAAATCATATAGAGACACAAAAGTGGAACAAATAAGTGAGAAATAAGGAAGTTGAGATTAATAAATAAATGCATAATTAAACTAAAATTATACTTTATGGAATGGAATTTATTTAAATTGTATTCCTTTATTTTAAAAGGGATTGTGCACATTAATAAGCATGGCTACAGAGAGTGCCTGTACTCCCTGGACAAATATTACAAAGTCATCCTGAGAAAGAGTTGGGAGGAGGATGAAGGTTCTTGTTTCTGCAGCTAGCTGCTGTTAGCAGGATGGAATTACTGCAGCAAAAACAAAGTTTGCTATTGCTATGGGAGTAGTGCAGTAAGCTAACAGGCAGGCTTGGGGAGTAACAGATTACATGTATCCATTCCAATCCATTACATTTACAGAAATAAATACATAATCAGATTAGTCAGCAAAAATGGGGATTATAAACAGGATTAAAATCTTATAACACATTTTAAAATAAAGAACAAAATACTACCATGCAAAAACCATAGCTAATCTTACAGTTCAGTTTATTATCATGACAAGTGAAAAAATACTTTCACTTTTCAGTCTCTAGGCTACTGCTGACAAGGAAAGTTTTTCTTTAAAAATACACAGCAGAGGACACTTTGGTCATGCTGTGTATTTTTAAAGAAATTTTCTTTTCGGTCACATTGTTCTGTTGTCTTATATAACACATGCTATCTTATTGATATTTCTTTTCTCATGTCTGTCTTTGCATATTTAGTGTTGAGGTAATCCAAAAGTAAGTTAGTAGAGATGCACTGATACCGTATTGGCAGCAATACTGTGTAATTGTCATCATAAAACTGCTCTGATACCACACCGATACCACTCTACTTAACCTCTTGTTAGTTGAGCTGATAGGCAGAAGAGAAGTAATGTCAGCAGTTTGGATATATTTTAAGCAACTTGCAACATTAATTTTTCAGTCAAAATTCAGTCAGAAAGTAATGCTGTGAATGAGACCAAACAATCAACTATCTTTAAGCCACCAGCCCACAGCATCTTTCCATCTCAGCTCTGATTGGTTGTTTTCGTTCAGGCCCGGTTGATTCTTGTAAATGTCATTAGGAGCACTAGGAGGAGCCAGAGGAACCTGAGTGTTTCACAGATTATCTGTCTCATGTGCTACTGTCAGGATGTAGTGAAAGTTTCAGTGAATATAACAAAAACATTGTTATAAAAGTTACCTACTGCAGCTTTAAGATGAAGTTATAAAAAAGAAATAATAAACATGCCTTCTCATTATCACTGTGAATATGTTTCACACTTAGGGAAACGGACGGGTGTAAGAAATCAACCTGATCGGCTGACAGTCACAAGAGCAGATGTAGACATCTCATCAGCTCAACATATGGCTTGAATCTGAGGCCGCAGCAGACAGCAATGACTTGTGTCTTTGCAGTAAAACCGCAACCATAAAGCTTGGAAATCTGTAATGATTTAGACCCAGGCATCTAATCAAGCTCATTTCACTTCTTTCATTTTTGAAACTACAGACATACTAAATTTCTTTCTTCAACAGCCCAGTTGTCAAACTAAAAACAATGTGGAAAGATAAAGATCAATAGCGCTCAAGGAGCTGAACCACCCTTCAAGGCTATGACCTGACATAACCTCATTCTGTGCAGGCTGTATCTGTCACAGTAGTTCAAAAAACAAGTCAGATCATATCTATTGACTAAGATTGTATGTATAGTCTGAATAGTTGAATGAGCAACAAGGTTAAAGCCACACTAGTAAATATTTTGTTCCAATGGACTATATGTAATGTGATAGGCCCGTAAACTCCAGTCTCATTAACTTTGTTTCTAGCCAGTAGGCAGCAGGAAAAAGCTCTGATGAAGACCACACTACGTCCAAGCATCAAATGACAAAGTTAGCGACTAGCTAGAGACGATCAGCCCGAACCCACAGACACACCTGTCCAAAGCACCTGTGCTAGTCTAAGTCTATACACAGGATTGAATTTGGAAATGAACCGGCTTCTCTTTGCTGTTTCTGTTTTGACTTCCTGCCAGCGGATCAACTCCGCCCTGACTGACGCGAGTCGGTCACTGCTTCCTTCAAAAATAGACCTGCCATGTATTCTACGCAGAGGAGAGCGAAGAGCCACTTCTGGGACGCCTCCTTCTGCTGGAATTTAGAGCACTGTCTAGCACGAGCGTGATCAGCTCCGGCGATCGCAGCCATGCCTGGCGGTAAGACTTACTAACAGTTCGCTCGACTATTAGGGGACAGCCCTAGTTGTTGCTGAGCACAACAGTATGATGTCTTTATATCAACAAGTCGGAATCTTGCCATCATCACAATATGATTGTTTTCATCATATTAAAAAAGATAGCAGTGTTATTGTCAACAATACAATATGGCACACCCCTAATTTAGGAGTCAAAATGAACTACAGTGTGTGTGTATGTGTTTTTGTACATGGTAATGAAGGAACACTCTAGTTCTATGTATAGGGTGGGTAATGCAATGACTTGCTACAACACATACTAATTCCCTACTCACTGCACCTCCCATAGGACACATCGATCAATGAAAACAAATAGGCTATTTCATCTTTTTCATTGTCACTGCCTCGCCATCCATGCTGCTTTCCTTCCCTTATCTTTTATTGATGATACTGCAAGGCTTCTGAAAGGCCTCTTTTTTGCTCTAAAGGCTTTTTCTGCACTTTCCCAGCAGCTCACACTGTGGAGTGAACAACAAATATCTCCGCTAGCCCTGTCAGCTGTGATCAGACACAACCCTCGACCCACTTCGGATTTGTAACTTCTACTATCGCAACAACGATGTGGATGACAGTGCCAAAACGTTGGCATTGCAAAGGCACAAGGAACCAGAGTTTAATAAAATATTCCGCCTGAAACATTTCAGCAGTTAGGAACAGCTGCTGGCAGGGCAGCGTGCACTGCTGGGCCTGTTCTGTTGTTAACATCAGTGTTCGGATGCACCGTCT